TAGGAAACCCTAAGGGGTCGTACTCACTATAGAGTACCCCACTGCAGGCTAGACAAACTACACATTATGACAGAGGAGAGAGTCAGTGACACCTCGCCTATAAGTGTGGAACTAGGGAGAGGGTCAGCACCGCTGCCGAGTGCAGAGCGGACTCAAGATGTAGCTGGGGGGGTGGAGAGGGCGCGTGACATGCGGGATGGGGACGGTGGTGCGGCGTCATCGCTGGGAAACGCGGGGGGGTTTGGAGGGTCAAATACTTCACCGCATTGCAGAACAAGCGCTGAGCTTGCATGCGACGAGATCGGTCCAGATGAAGAGCCAGACAGGTACCTTTTCACATCCACCATTCATTCCTTGCTTATCTCTTTTCGCACATTATTCCTCATCGCTCATCCTCCGCCCCAGGTCTCCCCATCTCACCCCATCTCCCCTTACCACCAAGTCTCGTCTCACTATCCCATCCCTCACCAAGTCTAGACGTAAGCGCATGTTTATCCACCTACAACACCCTGCTATTCACGAAGTACAACAATTATTCATCCCGCCCATCCAGACCCGACGCTCTCAGTGTGACGCGAAAGCGTCGATGGCCGCGTGGATGGCCATCCCCTCCAAACTGGGATGATTTTCCAGGAGACACGGTTTGCTTCCTTGAACCGCGGGTGTTAGTGTCATTCTTTAGTGGCCGGGCCTTGGGTTGTTGCGCAAGGGTTGGCTGCAAAGGGGAACTGTTGCTGGAGTCATGGAAACGGGCTTGGGCGTGTATGGGACTCATGTGGTTGTGCAATGTCTGTTCTAAGAGGGTGGAATTTTGGTCAAGTAGTCGAGAGAGGAATGATTTACCGCCTAGCAAGCGCGGACCACGCAGACCACCATTGATGGGAAAGCTTGTTGGTGCTTTTCCTCTTGCTGGGTTAGGCTACCAGCAGATGTGGGAGGTTTGTCGCACTTTGGGCGTGCCAAAGCCAGGTCATGGGACCTATTACAATCTCATGGGAGGGGATGAAGGGTTGTGGGGTGTCATGATCGAGCAAGCCAAGTGCTGCATGGAGCGTGTTCGAGCGAGCGTGGGGTGGGGGTCAGATCGCCGAAAGTGGGCGTGTATAGATGCAAGGTTCTCTCAGGTTCGTGAGGCGAAGTGGTGCACTGTATCGTTCATGGATCGCGAGACTAGAAAGGTCTTCCACTACAAAAACGCCAAAAGGGAGAGGGACGGACGGAACTTAGTGGGGCTCGAGAAGATTGCTTTTGACGCCGGTATGGATGAGCTTGCTGCAAGTGGATTTCAGGTGGATGGAATTGTCACGGACGAAGGCAACTGTTACAAAACTCCGGCGTGGGACAGGAGACTGATGCATCAGAATGACTGGTGGCATAAGTGTGGTGCCTACATGCGAGGTTTTAGAACAGATGTACAGGACGCCACCAGGAAAGTGGGATCTGTAGTGGGGGCCAAATGCTGTGAAGATCTGTACGTTATCACAATAGATAATCTATTGGCCTGGTTGAATGACAGCTCAATCGAGCGCTTTCATAGGGGGTTGGGGAAGAAGACGCTTGTACAGCATGTGTGCGCTATGCGTGGAATAGCATTCAAGGACATGGACCCTGCAGATGCCAAGTGGGTGCATCTTGAGTTACAACAAGTGCTGCTGCCTCGTGTTAGTCTCGATGCACGACCGATCGACATAGAAGTGCACAAGGGGTCTATCCCAGACTCTGTGAGTCGAGGTCGATCGAGCAGTGGTGGGGCTTTTCATTTTGCTGATACTGAGGAGGTTCTCCCTGACGAGCCAGTCGCAGTCGACATACAATGGCCGGATGCAGAGGAGCTGTGGAGTTACGATGCACACCCAGAATATGGGATACGCCCTGCCTCACATGCATCATTGGTACTTGTACAGGCATGGAACGGGGTGGAGGGCATTGACACAAAGGTTGCAGGTGTCGATCAAGGTAATGATTCTCCTGTGTGTGGACTATATCATTTGACCCACCCCGCCCCCTTTTTATCTCCCCTTTTGCTACTCGACTTCTCATGCCCTTTTGCTATTCATTATCAGTGCTACCCATTCCCATTCCCATCATACCATCACAATCTACCCGACTCCATTGTTTGTTCGCCCTCAATCTCCCACTTACTGTTTTGCAAGCATGCCTCAACTCATTTGTTGTAACCCCTGCTACTATGCCCTGATGCATGCCCTCCTCTTTTTCCGTTCTTCCCATACCTCTGTGAGCAGGTCAACAAGCGAGGACACTGTCAGAGGTGTTGCCCATCAGTGCAAGTGGAGCCACACCCTCGACCTCCAGGGTTGGCGAGGGTGTCAACTTGGAGCCAGCCGCGACAGTGGGGAGCCATAGGAGGTGGGGACGGCGTGCTCGACGATCACGATTACGGCAAGACGAGGGTGGCGGGAGCAATGGTGTTGGTGAGGTACAGGCGAGAGGGAAGGGGGTTAGCATTGTCGACAGACTTGCCGTGCACTTTTATCATTGCATGATGCGCAGCGGAGTGATGGCTAAAGAGGGGCACGCACGGTCGTGTGAGGATGTGTTAGCTGAGTTATGCCTTGCAGCAGACCACTTTGCAGGAGATCATTCTCGATGCGACAGAGGTGGGTCATGTGCACCGAGGTGTGTGACGGAGAATTGGGGTGCGGATTCTGCTGTATATTTGCCAAACTCTCCCACACATCTAGCTGTTCGCGCGTGGATGGCAAAACACTTCAGTCCATCCAAGGTTGCCTGCATTGTCGAGGGCGCAACCACCTCAATGAATGAGTCATTTCATTCGCTCATAATCAAATACGCACCAAAACGCATCCGATTCGACGTGAGTTATGAGCCACGAGTTGCCATGGCTGCTCTCCATTGGAACCACACTATGGATGGTAATGCGTGCATATATCATCTGTGCGCGGCGAACTACACGAATAAGACGTGGTCGGAGGGATCGAGTGCTTGGTCCAATGGACTGGAGTTGGGTTGACAGCGTCCTGAGAGAGTGGAGGCGTCCTTGGACGGAATCTCCTGAACCTGATGAGGAGTCTGCTGACATGGGGGGTACTGTAGCGACTTGGGAGATGGACGAGTCTGCACCAGCAATAGGCCATCTTGTTGTGGCCGAGGCATCCGCTGGTCCTTCCCTCGGTTCTGGACTTTCACAGCTACGAACACCAACAAGAGCACAACATACACCCAACACAACAAGCACCAACATTCTCGGTCCACGCCGCAACTTATTCGGTGAGCATCATATGTGCGGGTCAAATGTGTACGAGTCATTTCCATAACTGGCCTTGCACATCTTTTGTGACAAACGAGCAATGCTCATCACTGTGTGCCTCGTTTCCATCTATCACATACGCATTCTAATACACAAGGTGACTTGATCAACACACGCTGAGGTTCCAAAGGCAACCGTGGATGATTACAAGATTCACACCCATTGTGCACGTGGTACTAACGGGCTTTTACCCCGCCGCCCTCCCCTACGCATTATTGTAAACCTATGTCCACCCCTCGACCTGTGCTTATCTCTTACCCTGCTATCTCTCTCCCCCGTGCACACTGTCTTCCCCCTAGCTCTCTCTCTTCCCCCAGCTCACTCTCTTGTGCCCGCACTTGTGTTTCGGCTTGCAGCCCTGCTCACAACATCCTCTCATATTCTCCCCAGCCTTCCCTACTCTCAACTCCACCTTTCCCTCACGTTACCACTAGCCCTCCTGCTTTATTTTTGGGAAACTTCCATTTCCAATACCGTATTCCCACAGCCTTCCAATCTTGTGTCATAAAACCGCCCCTCCCACATATGGTTCCAATGTTCTTTTGCCAACCCCTCTTATCAACCGCAGTGACAGGCTTGTATGACCAAGCCCGTCATGTCTATTGACCGTGTATGGGTTCCACAAATACAGACAGAACGGCTTGGTCATACAATTCCTCATTCGTCTTCGCATTGCACATACTTTCGGTACGTGGCACTAACTCTTTCTTCCCTCAGTCACTCTTGAGCATAACCCTAAACCAACGTCCATCCTCAGTCTCCACCCTGCTCACTCTCTTCCCCTATGCTTGCTCTTCTTCCAACAACACCCTCTCCAATATGCTTGCTCTAAACCCTCCTCCTATCTCTCTTCCCGCCTCGGTGCTCTGTATCCCCCTCCCATCGCCCTAAACCCTAAACTTGCTCTGTTTCCTCCTAATACATGCAATTTCCCCTTCTCACTGCGCACCCCCCAATGCTCTACTCTCATTCCCTGCAGCCCTACTCACAAACTTCCCCCAAGCTCACTATGTTACCCCTATTCGCTCTCTTTATCCCTGCGCTCTCCCACCCCCCTTTCTCACTCTCTGCCCACCCTCCTCACTCTATTCCCCCCAGCTCACTCTCTCCCACTTGTTCACCTCTTTTACCACTGGGTTATGTTTCTCCCCTGCAACCCTGCTTCTCCTCTCCCCCCACTTCATTCTTCCCCAGTTTCCCATCTTGGTCCTTCAGGTCGTATGCACTATATCGCCTGCTTCCATTCACTACAATCCCGTAGTCCCACATGTGGTTTCGTGCAATATTCCCTTCCCCCGTTTTGACCACCTTGTTTTCCGTTTTGCCCACCACTCATTTTCCACTGCAGTTACAGGCTTGTATGACCAAGCCATTTACTATGTCTATTGACTTAGTACGGGCACTATCAGTACAGACCAAATGGCTTGGTCATTCAATTCCTCCTCGTGTTTGCCATCCGTGAGGTGTGGGGATCCGCGTTACTATGTAATTCTCCCATACATTTCTTTCTCATAAGTTTGTCCATGATCTAGTGGTTTCAGCCTAGAAATACTCATGAATACTGATGTGCTGTACATTATTCCAATTAAGATTTTTACGGCAATGCTTCTGTGCGTTATGTTTTGTGCCACCATTACTCGTTTTTCACCATTCAATCTTACAACCCAACGCCTTCGGCATATTCATGAAACCCAATGAGTTCCATCAAGCTTTATTGCAAGAGGGACAATACACGAGCCAAGAGGGTCATCACGTCAGTGCATCCATGAGGGAACCTGCTAGTATCACATAACGATGGTCCAAGAACTGATGTCTTGAGCTTGAGTCGTTGAACAGCCACCTGGTGGTGAATGAGATGAGACAGAAAGAGGGAAACAAAGGATATGAGAAGGGGGAGGCGGGGTGTGTGTAAAGCGGATCACAGCACAGCACCGCAGAGCCGCAGAGCAGAGCACAGCCCCACACAACAAAGCCTGACAGCAATTTGCCTCACCTTGTGCCCATCCGTCTGCAGCCACACCCGCTCGCTACAGCAGCAGCTGTGGTGGGCTATTCTGGATGCAGCTGCAGAATGGGGTGTGGGGGCGGGAAGGCGGGAAACAAGGGGAAGGGTTTGGGGGAAAATAGGATCGAGGGTATGGGGGAGACAAGCGGGAGGCAGAGATGGGGTGGGGCAGATATGGGAGGGGCGGAATGGGGGGATTTTGAGATGGGGTGGGGCGGATATGGTGGAAAGCGGAGTGGGGTGGGGTGGAGATGGTGCCTCCCAGGGCATGGCGGCGCCCTCAACAACGAGCCCGTGGCGAGTCGCACCCAACACTCCTATGCTCCACGTCCACCCCGTCTCTGGAGGCGACGATGAGGAGGAGATGATGTGTGGAGGATATGGGGTGTGGAGGAGATGGGGTGTGGAGGAGATGGGGTGAGGAGGAGATGGGGGGTGGAAGAGATGGGGTAAGGAGGAGATGGGGTGTGGAGGAGATAGGGTGTGGAGGAGATGGGGTGTGGAGGAGATGGGGTGTGGAGGAGATGGGGTGTGGACGGACGGGGAGATGAGGGATGGGGGGATGAGGGATGGGGAGATGAGGGATGGGGAGAAGAGGGATGGTAATATGAGAGACTGGGAGGAGAGGGATGGGGAGATGAGGGATGGAGAGGGAGGGGATGGGGAGGCGGGGATCGGGAGGTGAGGGATGGGGAGGCAAGGGATGGGGAGGTTGGGATGGGGTGAGGCGGAATGGGGAGATGAAGGATGGGGAGGTGCGGGATGGGGGAGAGGGATGGGGAGGGAAGAGATGGGGAGGCGGGGATGGGGAGTTGAGGGATGGGGAGGGAAGGGGTGGGGAGGCTGGGATGGGGAGGGAAGCGATGGGGAGGTGAGGGATGGGGAGGGAAGGGATGGGGAGGCGGGGATGGGGTGAGGTAGAATGGGGTGAGGCGGTATGGGGTGAGGCGGAATGGGGGAGGCGGTATGGGATGAGGCGGAAGGGGATGAGGCGGTATGGGGTGAGGCGGAGATGGTGGCTCTCAAGATGTCGCGGCGCCCCCGACTCAGGTTGACGGTAAGCCCGTGACAGCGGTGTTGCGGGTCGCACGCCAACCCTCTTTTGCCCCGCGTCTGACCCGTCCCTGGTGGCATGGGATGGGGTGGTGTTGACAGGGGAGTGGCGAGGATGGTGAGACGGAGAGGGGGACAGAGGGCGGGTTTCCGCATCATTTACAGCAACAGCAGCAGGGATGGGGAAGTGAGGGATGAGGAGGTGAGGGATGGGGAGGGGAGGGATGGGGAGGGGAGGGATGGGGAGGGGAGGGATGGGGAGGGGAGGGATGGGGAGGGGAGGGATGGGGAGGTGAGGGATGGCGATGCACATTGGAATTACTCCTCTGCCTTGCTGTACGCCGCATGCGCTGGATGGGGAGGTGAGGAAATGGGGAGAGGATACGAATAGGGCGGACGTGCGGAGATGATTTGGGAGAACGGGAGGCGATGGAAAGGGAGAGCGCGCGCGGCAGTGTGCGACGGGGGGGAATCGGCCATGTGCGGCGAGCGGGGGTGAGCGTGTGCTTTCGAAGGATTGCGCAATGGCGACGGAAAGGGAGTGAGCGTGGGCGAAGAGAAGAGTTTGAGCGTGTGCGATCGGGGTGATTAAGCGTGGGCGTCGGAAGTGATTGAGAGTGTGCGACGGAAGTGATTTTGCGTGGGCGACGGATGTGATTGAGCGTGTGCGACGGAAGTGATTGTGCGTGTGCGACGGAAGTAATTGCGCGTGTGCGACGGTAGGGTTGCGTGAAGGCGATGGAAAAGGAGCGTGGGCGACGGTAAGGGAGTGAGCGTGGGCGACGGTAAGGGAGTGAGCGTGGGCGACGGTAAGGGAGTAAGAGTCCGCGAGGGCGTACGCGTGGGCGAGGGGTTGAGCGTGCACGACGAGAAAGGGAGTAAGCGTATCGCCGAGGGAAATTATCGAGGGAAAGGTGTGAGCGAATTCGACGGTATGGGTGTAAGCGTGGCGGAAAATTACTGAGCGTGGGCGACGGTAAGGGAGTAAGCGTGGGCGAGGAGGTGCGTGGGTGGGACGGAGGGGGACCGAGTGTGGACAATGGGTAGAAGTAGCAACGCGACGAAGTAATTAGCCCTCCTCCTAGCAATGCGGACAGAGGCGATGTCGACACGGTAGGCGAAGAAGACGTGAAGCTATTGCTACGATATGGGCATATGGGGATCCTTGGGCACGGATAGCTTCCTCGACTGAAACCGTGACGTGGAATAGGGGAAACCTTGGGCGTCGAATTGGCCGGAATGGAGTGATGGTCCTAGAGCGTAAGGCCGACATTCAAGACAAGCGCTGGGATGGGGTTGGAGCCTAGCTATTCTACTAAGTTATGGCTGTCGCACTAGCTTGGCGAACTAGGGAGTTTCTATCGACCTGAATTACACATTTCCAGTTTGATGTGCACACTACAGCCCAGGGTGGTTAAGGAACCGAGCACTCTGCGACTTTCATCATGTTTTGCAGGTGGAGACCTGGTAAACACTCGGTGTTTAGGGTTGATGCATCCCTAACACATGCCAGGCCCGAATGGGTTTTATTTTTGCCCGCGGGCAGCGTAGTACAAGTGACCCACTAAACTTAACTATTTTTTGGGTTGCGTAGCAACCCTATATTAACGATTTCATCTTTTGGGGATATCATTTCAAGAGTGGTTTTTACAGCACTCTTTGGAGCACCCGCTTAAGAATGCTTCAGATCGTGAATAATAAAAAACACTCATGAATGAGGTCTCCCATAAGTGAAACCAATTACACATCATGTTGAAACCATGATTTTTTTCCAACCGTCCCAGCTCGTCGATTAATATGGCGGATGGTACGATCAGACATGGCATCAACATGCGAGAATGCATTTGTAGAAATGAACACGGTATGAAGTGTTATGCGAATGCTTCGAGAAATGTTACAATGTATCAACGTAGCAATAAAGATTGATGGGGCCGTTGAAACAGCGAATACACGCTGCACCAACGACGATGACAACCTCTAGTTGCATACACGATGCATTGGAACACCCCGCATTGGAACATTCACATCACACAAACACGAAATGCAAACGTCACGGAAAAATAGTTGTGACGACATCAAAATGGATGCTTAATATGCACCAATGCTACAACTGAGACTGATGGGGTCGTTGAGACAGTGAAAACACACTGCACCAACGACGATGACAACCTCAGCTGCAAACACGATGCCTACCAGCACCACACCCTGAAATAATCACAACCAACTGACACACACACAAGCACACACACCCACGCACACACGATACACATACACAAGCACACATGCACCGACACGCATATATGTACACATACATACATACAATGAGGAGAGAGAGCAAACAAGCATAACAAAAAGTCGCAAAAAGGCCGAATACGTAACAATCACTGTTAGCCTGCTCCCCCTTCCTATCCGTTCCCCCCTTCCCTCTTTATCCCCACGTTTTTCCACATCTTTTCCCTTGCCTTCCTTTCCCACAATGCGGCAGGCACATCCTGCAAAACACACAGGTCACGCAGAAAGGTATATTGCTGTGAGTGAATCCAGTGAATAACGTAAGGCGTCAGCGCGCTGCAGCAAGACACGAGGTGCATTAGAAGTAGCAACGCATGACGGAACGTGTTCAAGATGATGCAATAGATTGACAAAAGATGAATACTAGGAAAATCCAATTGGACAACTCACACGCGTGGTTTGAATGCATCATGCACACCACCTCAGCCTGCACAGAATGCATCACCTAAAAGAAAGAGAGAAGAAACGATAATGGCACCAAAAACACACCCAGCGCTCTAGGCGCGAATGCGCCAGCTCCAAAAGGCATCAACGCCCATGGCGCTACTGCCGCCAGCACCCTAGGTGCATACGTCGCAGCGTCAATGCCCATAAGCACCAATGTGCCCAAGGCACCAGGCATGAGCAACCTAGGGTTAATGCACTTAGCAACAATCACTAAGGCATGCCCAAGAGGACTAAGTAAGACTCGCCAATGCCTAAGGTGCAGGCGCTTAAGGCGTCAGCGAGATAGGCGCCAGCGCGATAGGCGCCAGCAAACATGGCGCAAGCGCAATAGGCGCCATTGCAATAGGGGCCAGAGCACACGGCGCCAGAGCGCTAGGCGCCAGTGCGCTAGGCGCCAGCGCACATGGCGCCAGCGCAATAGGCGCCAGCGCGCATGGCGCCAGCGCAATAGGCGCCAGTCCGGTAGGCGCCAGCGTGCTAGGCGCTAACGCGCATGGCGCCAACGCGCATGGCGCCAGCGCGATAGGCGCCAGCGCTCATGGCGCCAGCGCAATAGGCGCCAACGCACACGGAGCCAGCGCACACGGCGCCAGCGCGCTAGGCGCCAGTGCACTTGGCGCCAGCCCGGTATGCGCCAGCGCAATAGGAGCCAACGCACATGGCGCCAGCGCACTTGGCGCCAGTCCGGTAGGCGCCAGCGCGGATGGCGCCAGCGCGCTAGGCGCTAACGCGCATGGCGCCAGCGCGGATGGCGCCAGCGCGCTAGGCGCTAACGCGCATGGCGCCAGCGCGTATGGCGCCAGCGCGCTAAGCGCCAGCGAACATGGCGCCAGCGCACACGGCGCCAGAGCGCTAGGCGCCAGCGCACTTGGCGCCAGCCCGGTAGGCGCCAGCGCGCATGGCGCCAGCGCGCTAGGCGCCAGCGCAATAGGCGCCAACGCACATGGCGCCAGCGCACTTGGCGCCACTCCGGTAGGTGCCAGCGCGCATGGCGCCAGCGCGATAGGCGCCAGCGCACATGGCGCCAACGCGCATGGCGCCAGTGCGCTAGGCGCCAGCGCACATGGCGCCAACGCGCATGGCGCCAGAGCGCTAGGCGCCAACGCACATGGCGCCAGCGCACATGGCGCCAGCGCAATAGGCGCCAGCGCGCATGGCGCCAGCGCAATAGGCGCCAGCGCGCATGGCGCCAGCGCAATAGGCGCCAGCGCTCATGGCGCCAGCGTAGCAAGCGCCAGCGCCTTAAGCGCCAGCGCACTTGGCGCCAGCGCGTTAGGCGCCAGCGCGCCAGGCGCCAGCGCATATGGCGCGAGCGCGTTAGGCGCCAGCGCGCTAGGCGCCAGCGCATATGGCGCCAGCGCATTAGGCGCCAGCGCTATAGGGCCAGCGCGATATGCGCCAGCCCGTTAGGCGCCAGCGCGTTAATCACCAACCAGCAAAAAGAACTTACGAAAACGGTAGAAAAAAACTGAAAATTCAGAGGAGGGGAGAGGAAATAAAGGTCCGGGAAGCGGAAACGCACCTAAGACGACGGTGCCTCACAAAACGCGCGGTCGTGCAGCAACCCGCGCTCACGCTAGTGCACCCACCAGAGGCGACGGCGGGAAGGGAGGGAGAGGCGACAACGAGGAGAAAGGGAGAGCGACGGCGGGGACGGAGGGAGAGGCTATGATGGGGAGGGAGGTAGAGGCGACGGTGGGGAGTGACGAGAGGCGGCGGTGGAGTAAGGCGATTCGAAGGATAGCTGGTAGGGAGTTGTGATGAAAGCATGGGCGATGGTTGGCTTGGGAAACGTAGAAAGAGCAGAAGTAGAGGAGGTGCTTGAATTCAAGAAACCTAGACAAGACTCAGGGAAGGTAGTTCTTAGGGCGTGTAACTTTGCTCCGACCAAGCCCAAAATCCGACCAAATGGCTGGATCTGGCGAAAGCGGAACATGTAACAACTCAGCGAGCCTCGCCAAACATTTCGAGCATAACGACCATTCTGTTCGCCAGGACGCGGAACAACCACCCTAAACCACCCTCGAAATTGGTCGGAAAAGGTTTGATCCTAGTTCCAGCATCGAACTGGGTGTGGAAAAAAGGAGGCACGGGTATATTAGATTGTTCAGCAAAAAAACGGTGGTTTGAAAACGCATTCGGGGGCGAAAACCGAATGTCAAACATTGATCTCCTGCTAAGTAGAGGACCAACTAGCTTGATGGGCAAGTTTACACGAAAGAATACCATCCGATTTCTATCAAGTCAGGGTGACTACAAACTCTTCGCGTAACCCTACAAACTTCGCAATCGTCAGAACCGCCCATATGGTCGACCATTTCGCTTGGTCGGAGCAAAGTTACACGCCCTTAGGTTTGGTTCGGATTGTGTTGCGCTGGCAAGAAAATCCGTTTCACAATCGGAGTACAGTACGGTACAGAGACGATTGGGCAAATTGCAAGCTACCCCAAGCTAACACACTCACTAATATATATTTTGTGCCATTTGTACAAACAAGCACTACTGCCAAATATAATAACAGATAGAATATATTTTCAAATCTTTCCACATTCACAGCATTCAACTGGAAGAGAAACGAAAATGAGGAAGAACAAAATGAAGAATTAATGATTATATGTTATAAACAGGATAAATATCCGTGGCTCTCTCCAAATAACGTGCGTGTAATATCGATCATTTGTCATGTCTTCAAATGACAACCACATAACTGCTACGCAACCCGTCCGACGTTAACGTCGAATCTTGTTCTCTTGAAAGTTGTGGGAAAAATAAAACAGATCGTGGTTCCCACGATCAGAGGCATGCCACGTGGCGATAATAAAACGAAGGGCGACTGTGCGGGGTTGAGCAAAACTCTCGAAGTTTGTGCATGTAGCCGCGAGGTAACATGCGTTAGGGGTGAGTTGGGTCCCCCCACAATTTTTGAGACGAACGCGGAGTTGCCATGCAGGGAGGACGCGCTGCACGCGGAGCTGCGCGTCGTGAAACACCTCGAGGTCGTCGTCGTTGCGGAGCTCGACGCATGGAAGCGCGACAGTGTGTCGCGCGGCAAGGCGGAGTAGCTTCTGAGGCAGGCGGAGATGTGGCGCGCGCTGGCGGAAACGACTGCCTACAAACAAAGCCGCAATGACGGCCCCGCCGTCCCTTCCTAACGGCCCCGCCGTCCCTTCCTGACGGCCTCCGCCGTCCCCTTCTACCGGCCCCGCAACTGCACCTGCTGGCCCCGCCGCTGCACCTACCGGCCCCCCACCCCCCTTTTCCCGTCGTCTGTCGAGGCGACCTGAGAGGCCAGCAGAGGGGTGGCAGGTGTGTGGCCTCCCCTGCTTCTCCTCCTCCTTCATCTCCCACTGCAGCAGCCGAGCCACTCACCTGCAGCAGCCGAGCCGCCCCACCGCCGAGCTGCCCTGCACCCGAGCCGCCCTGCCGCCGTGCCGCCGGGTCGCTGAGCTGCTGAGCTGCAGTTGCTGCCGAGCCGCCCTGCCGCCGAGCCGCCGAGTCACCGAGCTGCTGAGCTGCAGTTGCTGCCGAGCCGCCTTGCCGCCGAGCCGCCCGAGTCGCCCGAGCCGCCGAACCGCCGAGTTGCCGAGCCGCTGAGTCGCCGAGCCTACTCTTCCCCCCACTGGTGAGCTCTTGCCCTGCTAGCACGCTGCGCGTCGCCTACTTGCCTGCCTGCCTGCCTTTTGGCTTGCCTGGCTGCCTGCACTCCTACTACCACTCCTGCTGCTTCTACTCGTGGTGGCGGCCAGATGCAGCTCCCGCGACCCTCTCGCGTGTCTCTCACGCCTCGCCAGCTTCGTGAGTGGTACGCTCAGAGTGGAGGGTCTCTCAGTGCTGTTCGCTGCTCTTACGTGATTCGCACTGGTACTCAGACTGGTCAGCCTTGTGGGACACGTAGTCATACACCGTCCCGCTGCTTCGCCCGTCTGAGCGACGCCTGGCGTACCGTGTTTGGAGACGAGGCTGAGCTTCCCGACTGGGTGGAGTTGCTTAGGCAGAGGGTAGATATATATGCTCTTGACTATGATGCTATTCTCACTGCTATGTATGCATTGCCTACTAGTGCTGACCGTGCCGGTCACCTGTGTGTCCCGCCTGACCCATGTATAGGACCTGCTGCTCTAGCTACTGGTGAGGCTGCTGCTCTGGGTGCTAGTGAGTCTCCTGCTCCAGGTACAGGTGCGGCTGCTGCTCCAGGTGCTAGTGAGTCTGCTTCCTCAGGTGCGGGTGAGGCTGCGCTCTCAGGTACCGCGTTGGCTTCGGCCTCCCTCACCTTTACACTTGACTCTGGGGCTTCTCGCTCCTTCTTTCGGGACCGCACCACACTCACGCCGCTTGGTCGGCCGGTTGCAGTCTCCCTGGCTGACCCCTCTGGGGGTCCTGTCCTCGCTCACTTCTCCACTGTCCTCCCGTGTCCGGCTGCCCCCTCGGGCACCCTGTCTGGCCTGTACCTCCCCTCGTTCTCGACGAACTTGGTGAGTGGTGCAGACCTACAGGATGCGGGGGTTCACCAGTTCACTCCTGCGAGTCAGCGGGTGACCCACTGCACGGACGCACGCACAGGCCGGCACCTGGCCACGTTCTCGCGTCGACCGGGGTCGAGCCTCTACACCCTGACCACTGAGTCTCTTCCTGTCCCCGCGTCCGGTCGGGTAGCAGCGTCGGGTCAGGTGTTTGCTGCTGCGTCCAGGTCTGGTCCTGAGTCTGCCCCCTGTTCGTGTCGCCTCCTGTCTCACGAGACTCTTCTGTGGCACCACCGTCTAGGCCACCCCTCCTTGCCCCGTCTTCGGGGCATGGCTTCCCGTGTCCTTGTCTCTGGTCTTCCCCGGTCTCTCCCTCCCCTTCCTTCGGGACCAGGACCTTCCTGTGTCCCCTGTGTCGAGGGGCGCCTCAGGGCTGCTCCTCACTCCTCCCAGTTTCCCCCGACAGAGGCTCCTCTGCAGACGCTTCACATGGACGTGTGGGGCCCGGCCCCCGTCCGTGGGCAGGGTCACGAGCGCTACTTCCTGTTGGTGGTTGACGACTACTCGCGTTACACCTCAGTCTTCCCCTTGCGCAGCAAGGGTGCTGTCACTGAGGTGCTGATCGACTGGATCCGCGAGGCTCGTCTCCAGCTCAGGAGGAGCTTCGGCTCGGACTTTCCTGTTCTGCGTCTGCACTCTGACCGAGGTGGGGAGTTCTCCTCTCGCCTTCTGCGAGACTACTGTCGTGCACAGGGGATCCGCCAGACCTTTACGCTTCCGGACTCTCCACAGCAAAATGGGATTGCTGAGCGCCGCATTGGCATGGTCATGGATGTCGCTCGTACGTCCATGATGCATGCGGCTGCCCCCCATTTTCTGTGGCCGTTTGCGGTTCGGTACGCGGCGCATCAGATCAACCTTCACCCCAGGGTCTCTCGGCCCGCGATGTCCCCAGTGTTACTGTGGACGAGGAAGGTCGGCGATGCGTCTGCGTTCCGTGTCTGGGGATCTCGGGCGTTTGTCCGCGACTTGTCTTCGGACAAGCTGTCCCCCCGTGCTGCTCCCTGTGTCTTCCTTGGCTTCCCCCCTGACGCTCCAGGGTGGCAGTTCTACCACCCCTCCTCTCGTCGTGTTCTGTCCTCCCAGGACGTCACGTTCGACGAGTCAGTCCCCTTCTACCGCCTCTTCCCCTACCGTACTCCTTCCCTCCCCCCCCCACCGGACTTCCTGGTACCAGTTCCCCCCCCGGTAGACCCCCTCCCCCCTCAGGTTCCTGCCCCTTCAGGTGTGTCCCAGGTAGACACGGTCGAGCCAGTGGAGGTTGCTGCTGAGTCTGGTCCTGCTGCGGGTGCTGAGCCTGGGGGTGCTGCTGCTGGGGGTGCTGCGCCTGGGGGTGCTGAGCCTGGGGGTACAAGGCCGGGGGGTGCTGAGTCTGGGGGTGCTGAGCCGGGGGGTGCTGAGCCGGAGGGTGCTACGTCAGGAGCTGCTGAGCCTGGGGGTGCTGGGCCTGGAGGTGCGGAGCCTGCGCCTGCTGGACCTGGGGGCTCTCCGGTTCTTCCGTCTCGGCGGGAGCCGCTCTCTCCACAGGAGCTGCGCGAGTGGTTTGCTCGCCGCTGGAGGCGTGCTGCTGGAGCTGGAGCTTCTTCGCCTACTGAGGGTGCTGCCGGTCCCGGAGCTGCTGGGCCTGCGGGTCCTACTGGAGCTGGAGCTGCTGAGCCCGGGGGTGCTACGTCTGGAGCTGCTGTGCCTGGGGGTGCTGAGTTTGGAGCTGCTGAGCCTGGGGTTTCTCCTGCTGCTGCGTCTCGCCGGGAGCCCCTCTCTCCACAGGAGCTGCGCGAGTGGTTTGCTCGCCGCTGGAGGAGTGCGGCTCGAGCTGGAGCTTCGTCGACCGTCGAGGGTGCTGGTGCTGCCGGTCCCGGAGCTGCTGGGCCTGCGGGTCCTACTGGAGCTGGAGCTGCTGAGGGTGTTGGTGCTGAGACTACTGCTGTCTGTCCTGGCGGTGGTTCTGCTGCTGGTGCTGCTGGAGGTCCTGCCGCTGGAGGTGTTGGTGGCGCTGGTGCTGTCGCTGAGGGTGCTGGTGCTGTCCCTGCTGAGTCTGGAGCTGCCGCCCGGCCTCGGCCGTACTCGTTCCGCTCCTACAGCAGGTTCTTGGTCTTTCTCCTTCGGTAGAGTGTCCACAGCCTGTCCAGTCGCAGTCACTGTTGGAGCCTTCCTCTCCTCTGCTTGCTCCCTCTCCTTACACTGGTCCTACTGGAGGTCTTGCTGAGCGTCGTGAGCCTGCGTCTCGTCCCGCGTCGCCTGTTCGTGCTGCTCGCGCTAGTGGTCGCGGTTCGCGTCAGCGTCCTCCTCCTGTCCCTGGCACGCACTGGATGTCTCTGCGTCCGTCCACTGCTCCTCTGCGTGCCCCTTTGCCTTCTCCTCCTGGGTCCTCTCTTCCTGCGCTTGCCGACCCTGAGTCGGACTCTCTTCCCGCTGCCAGTCCTACTGTCACGCGTCTGCTTGCTACTGTCGTCACTGACCCCTCTTTTGAGTCCACTGCTGCGTCTGCTCTAGTCGCTGAGCTCGTTGACTTTGCTGCTCGCTGTCGTCTCGACTACGCTGCTAGTCTTGTTGCTGAGTCTGCGTCTGTCTGTCCTCCGTCCGTCGGGGGTGAGTGTGCTCTTGGCACGGACGTCCTAGAGGACAGACAGGAGGAGTTACAGTGTCTAGCGGCTGCTTCACCTCATCTCGCGTCTGTACTGCTTGCCCCTGAGGGAGACCCGGATGCACTTGACATCCCGACTCCGCGTTCTTACGCGGAGGCCGTAGAGGGTCCCTACTCGTCTCAGTGGCAGGCAGCTATGGATGCAAAGATGGCTTCCTGGAAGTCCACAGGCACCTACGTTGACGCGGTTCCCCCTCCTGGGGCGAACATCGTCAGTGGCATGTGGATCTTCAGGGTGAAGCGGCCGCCGGGCTCTCCACCTGTCTTCAAGGCGCGGTACGTTGCTCGTGGCTTCAGTCAGCGGCAGGGAGTTGACTACTTTCAGACCTTCTCTCCCACCCCGAAGATGACCACTCTTCGGGTGCTGCTGCACATAGCCGCTCAGCGCGACTACGAGCTTCACTCTCTCGACTTCAGCACTGCGTTCCTGCAGGGTAGCCTGCACGAGGAGATCTGGCTGCGCCGTCCACCTGGCTTCACTGGGACTTTCCCTCCTGGCACCCAGTGGAGCCTCCGACGGCCAGTCTACGGTCTCCGCCAGGCACCACGTGAGTGGCACGACACACTGAGGACTACGCTTGCGGCTCTTCGGTTTGCTCCTTCTACTGCTGACCCGTCGTTGTTTCTGCGCACCGACACTTCACTACCGCCGTTCTACATCCTCGTGTACGTCGACGACTTGGTCTTTGCCACAGCGGACACTGCTGGACTCGCCTACGTGAAGTCCGAACTGCTGAAGAGACACACGTGCACAGACCTGGGTGAACTGCGCAGCTACCTTGGCTTGCAGATCACCCGGGACAGAGCACGCCGCACCATTACCTTGACTCAGTCACACATGGTGCAGCAGGTCCTTCAGCGCTTTGGCTTCACGTACTCCTCGCCTCAGGCCACTCCTCTGCCTACTCGCCACTCACTCTCAGCTCTGCCTTCGGATGAGTCCGTAGAGTCGAGTGGTCCGTATGCAGAGCTTGTTGGCTGCCTCATGTACCTGATGACCTGCACTCGAACTGACCTTGCATGCCCTCTGAGCATTCTTGCACGCTATGTTGCTCCTGGAAGACACCGACCAGAGCACATGGCTGCAGCGAAGAGGGTATTGCGCTACCTGTGCAGTACGTCGGGCATGGGGCTAGTGCTTGGAGGGCGGAGTCCAGTGGTCCTTACAGGGCACGCGGACGCTTCTTGGGCTGACGACCAGGCTACACAGCGGTCGTCACAGGGTTACACCTTCAGTCTTGGTTCCGGCTCTGTCTCGTGGCGGTCTACTCGCTCGTCTTCAGTTCTCGGCTCCAGTTGTGAGGCTGAGATCTACGCCGGGGCCATGGCTGCATAGGAGCTTCGCTGGCTCACCTACCTGCTGACTGACCTTGGAGAGCCGCCTCGTTCTCCTCCAGTGTTGTACGTAGACAACAAGGCCATGCTGGCCTTGTGTCGAGAGCAGCGCTTGGAGCACAGAACGAAGCACATTGCTCTCCGCTACTTCCTTGCTCGTGAGCTGCAGCAGCGTGGTCGGTTGCGACTTGCGTACGTGGCCTCTGAGGCCAACACTGCTGATGCGACTTGCGTACGTGATGTGTTCACCAAGGCACTCGCGCCTTGTGATCATCAGCGCTTTTGCACCCAGCTGGGTCTTGTGCCTGTCTTGCCTCACTTGCTCTCCTCTTGACTTTACTTGTACTGTGACATATATATATACCTGCTCTTGCTTGTCTAGTTTTATATATATGTCTGTACTCCTGCATGTGAACTGGCCTCTGGCCCTGCTCTTGTGCTCGGACTGTGTGGTGACTTTGTGATCCACCCTGAGCTTGCTTTGCTTTGCTTGACTGGTCTTGTGACCCCTTGTTCTTCCCCACTTTGCCTATGGGGGTGTGTCAAACATCATATATGTTATGCTTGTGTAGGCTACAGTGGGTTAGCCTATAGGGGGTACACAATTCTAGGGTTTACTACTTGTACTCATTTCACTTCTAGTTCATCCATTCCTGTTCGCTTATTCTCACAGACTGCGCACGGGAGGCGGCGGAGACGACAGGGGAGGCGGAAGAGAGCAGGATTGCGACGGGGCGTGCATGCGGCGACGGGGGGGAAGCGGGCGCGCACAGACGCGGAGGTGGCGCATGAAACAATGGCGCGGTTGACGCGAGAGAAGGCCGAGGCGGAACGACGGGGAGAGGAGGAGGCGGAGAGGCGGAGGGCAGCAGAGGAGGAAATGGGGCGGCTGAGGGCGGCATTGGAGGAGGCTGAGCAGCGCACGGAGCACTGGCGCGCACAGACAGAACGATGGCACAGGGAAGTGGCGTGGTTGAGGGGAGAAGAAGCGGAAGGGGTGCGCGGGGAGTTGGTGGGAGAAGAGGTGGTGTGGCGCGAGGAGGAAGGTGATTGGCGGGAGGTGGCGGGGGTGGCGGAGGGTGCAGGAGGCGGGGGGGGCTGTGGTGCTGATGGGAAGGTGGGTGGTGAGGAGGAGGATACAGACGAGGCAGAGAGCGAGGCACTGGGGCAGTGGCAGGCGCATGGGACAATGGCGGGGCTGCTGGGCGTGGCAGGCAGAGAGGCTGGTGCGAGTGCGGTGCTTCAGGGGGGCTTGGGGGAGAGCGAGGGTGCAATATGTTGTGATGCGGTTGATGCAGAGCATGCAGGGGTGGCGGCTGGGCAAGCATGTGTGGGCGGGCACGAGGAGGGCGTGCATGCCAGGGAGGTTGAGAGAGGGGCAGAGGCAACGCAGGAAGGGAGGATGGGAGCAGCGGAGAGAGTGGTGGGGTGTGAGGTGGAGGGAGAGGAGAGCGATGGGCGAGGGGGAGAGGAGGATAGCAGTCTTGAAGGACAGAGTGGGGGGGCGGGAGGGGAGCAGCAGTGCGAGCAGGGAGGGCATGAATGCGCAGAAGAGTGGTGGCGGTATGGGGAGGGGGAGGGGAGAGGGGGGGTAGAGGAGAAGGTGGCAATGGGAGGCAGGCAGGAGGCAGGGAGGTGTGTGGTAGAGACGGCTGGGAGGGACGGTGTGGTAGAGGCGATGGAGGATGATGCGTGCATGGGCTGGGGCGAGCAGGGCATGTGGGCCGCGCTGGTCGGGGCGCAAGAGGACGAAGAGGACTCGCACACAAGGGAGCACGGCGGGGAAAGGTCGAGGGGTGTTGAGACTGAATGGGAGGGTGGGGTGCGGGCAAGGACGGAGGAGGAAGGGATGCATGCAGGAGTGGGCACGTGAGAGGCGGTTTCAGCCAAGGTAGAGGAGTGGGAGCGATGGATGGAGGAGGCAAAGAGAGGTGGCGATGAGGTATGGCAGGCAGGGTTGTGCATGACAGAGCTCCGCAGTGATGCACACGCCACTCTGGCACAGAGCGCATGCAGCATGGGCGCACTGGGGCGCGGTGCGCTGCAGGTGGACAAGGGAGGGGCAGGCGTGTGGGTGGAGAGTGGTGTGGGAGAAGGGGGCGCAGGAGCAGATGGGTGCGGTGAAGGTGGTTGTGTAGCTGTGGACAATGGTGTTGGGGTATGCAGGGGACAGGGGAGCATGGAGGGTGTGACGCAAGGGCAAGACGAGGATGCATTCGGGGTGGAGCAGGGGAGGAGAGAGGGATTGGAAGGGTTGAATGAGCGTGCAGCAGGTAAATTCAAAGCCTTGGAAGGCGGAATGTATTTGAGAGTGATGGAGGGAGCTGGATTGGTGGTGGTGATGTGTGATGAGGGTCCAAGGCGACATGTGACAGCCGTGAAGGTGGAAAAGGATGAGGAGGATGCAAAGTGCGAGAAAGATGAGGAGGTGGGATTAGAGGCACAAGTCTATTGGTGTGCGGAGGCAGAAGAGGCGAGTCAGGAAAAAGTAAGGACGAGCTTTTTGGTGGCAGCGGAAATGGATGAGAGTGTGACGAGAAGAGTGTCTGTGGAGGGGCTAAGGGAGGAGTGCAAGGAGGAGGCAAGAATGCGAGAGGAAATGAGGAGGATGGAGGTGGTGGTGGTGAGGGAGGAGATGGCGAGGCGGAGGCAGGAGGGTGGGGAGATGCTGATAAGGGAAGGAAGGGGTGCGATGGAGGCTGAGCGTGGGAGGCTGCAGGTGGAGAGGGACAGGTTGAGAGCAGAAGAGGAGAGGGAGGAGGCAAGGACGGAAAGGGACTGTTGTGTGAAATCAACGGAAGACATGGTGAGGGCGAGGGACGAGGCAGAGAGGAGATTAGAAGCATTGCAGAAGCTGTTATTGATGGGCACAAGTACGGAGAATGAAGTACGGGGGGGGGGGGGGGGGGGGGGGGGGGGGGGCAGGTCACTGTTGGAGAGAGTGTGGGTGGTGGCGAGAAGAGGGGCATAGGGGAGGACATGGCGTGGAGTGAGATGATGCATGTGATGAGAGAGGTGAGCGGGGCGAGGGGCACACGAGGAGAGGAGAGTGCGGAGCAGGAGAGGGGTGTGGAGGAGATGGAGAGGATGTGTCGGGTGGCAGAGGAGGAGAGGGATGCAGCAAAGAGGCGGAAAGAGGAGGTGGAGGAGGAACTAGCAGTGGCCGTGCGGGAGGGACGAGGCAATGGCGAGGTGCAGTGAGATGGAGCAGGAGAGAAGCAGCATGGAGTGAGCACTGCGGGAGGCAGAGAGGGCAATGGAAGAGGCATAGCGAGCAGTGGACGAGGTTGAAGAGGAAAGGATGCAGGCCGGGCGAGCAAGGGAGGAGGCAGATCGGCAACGAGACAAGGCAGAGAGGGGAAGAGAGGAGGAAGAGAGGAAAAAAAAGGAGGACGCGAGGAAAAGAGCGGAGGCAGCGAGGGGAAGGCAGGAGGCAGAGAAGAAAAGAGAGGAGGAGGAGAGGAGAAGACAGGAGGCAGAGAGGAGAAGAGAGGAGGCAGAAAGAAGAAGGGATGAGGCAGAAAGCAAGATAGAGGAAGCAGAGAGGAAAAAGGAGGAGGCAGAGTGGGGAAAAGAGGAGGCTGAGAGGAGAAGTGATGAGGCAGAGAGGAGAAGTGAGGAGGCCGAGAGGAGAAGAGAGGAGGCAAAGAGGGAAAAAGAGGAGGCAGAGAGGAGAAAAGATGAGGCAGAAAGGAGTAGAGATGAGGCAGAGAGAGGAATTGGAAAATGCAGGGAGGGGACGGGATCTGGGAGAGAAAGAAAGAGTAGATGCTGAGAGGGATAATGTGTGCAGCAGGAGGGAGAAAGCTGCGCACAGAATGAGAGAGGAGGAGGAAGTGGCATGCGCGCGAGAGGTGGGTAGGACGTGCAGTGATGGACCGTCTTTGAAGGAGATGAGTGGGTGCAGCGAGGTGGGGAAAGGCGCTGCTGTGTATGCAGATGGCGTGGGTGTGGCGGGCTTGGGGGAGGAGGTGGCGTGCAGCGATGGCAAGGGCATTGGCAGCGATGTGCATGCAAGGGCGCATGCTGGCTATGCCACTGCTCGCCCTGCTGCACTGCATACACGTGAGCGGAACAGCGCACTGAGTGCCGTGCTGGCAGGTAGTTGTGCGCTTGGTGGCAGCAGTAATGGGCATGACAGCAGCAATGGCACCACGGGTGCTGTCATGGGAGGCGGCCCTGCACGGCACACTACAGCAACCCCCTGTGCCGCTGACACCACTAATGCCCGTACTGCTTCTTCTGCCACTGCTGCCAGTGCTTGCTCCCGTTCCGCCCACACCTTGCATGTCCCTCATAACTGGCATGGCTCATATGCCCATGGATCCCATGCTTCGCATTCCTCCCACACATCCCTTTCATCCCACGCCTCGCATGCACCCGCCCCTGGCTCGTGCCACTCCTCTCCACCTTTTATGCCCGCACATGCTGCTGAATTGACCACCACTTGTTTCTGTGCAGCAGATACCCCTATCGGACCAGTGGCCACAGTGGCAGCAGAAGCAGTGCAGCCCGAAACAAGCAGCAAAGCGCCTGCAGTCACGGCATCAACCAATTCCCACAGCAGCTCGTGCCCCCCCTCTAGTGGTGGGCCTCCACACACCATGCTCGCCGCTCTTGCCCCCACCCCTGAACTTCTGTTGAGCCGCCAACACCTTCGCAGTGTTGGGTGCAACATGTATTTTGCACATCAACCTGTCGCCTATCCTTCGAGGAAGGTGGAATTTGAAGGTATTTGTTCTAAGGTAATTTGTGCAGTGTGGAATGCGCATTTGTGTGCTCTTCATTTTGGCGTTTACGGTTTATGAATCGCCTTAGCGGTCCATAAATTATGTGCATTTTTGTGTGAGGTTGCATTAATGCATTTTCATGATTGTTCGTGTGTGCTTCATGTTGTTCGTGTCGTGTCATGAATGTGCGTGAAGATCCGAGTGATCATGTGCTTTCATGAGACTTCGCGCGTTCATGTCTGTTCGCGTACTGCTCGTGTTACCTTCGAGAGCGTTCATGTATCTTCATGTTCGTTCATGTCCGTTCATATTCGTTCATTGTTGTTAATGTTCCGTTCATGTTTCTGTCATGAGTTTTTGTAAATCTTTCATGAGTGCTCACGGTGAATGGCGAGTATTTTTTATGGGAGATCTTATCGCGTTGGTCAAGGTTGAAAAAGGCGTGAGAATCTGGACCGCGCGTGCGGCCCAGATCTCGCGTGTGGCCCCGCAGGGGCTGCGCGTGTGCTTCGCCACCGTTGCGAGCGTGGCAGGGCCCGCTTCTGCAACAAGACAGGGCGATAATAATCGCCCTACCCACGTCAGGACAGCGTGCCCCCTGGGGTGCGCGTGGGTTGCGAAGAGTGCCGAGAGATCCCGAGGGGTGCTCGGGATTGACTCAAAATTTCAGTTAACTAATTGAATTTTGATACTTGTCTTTTTGTATATGGCGAACATGAATCGTCGCCAGAAATGTCGCGCACGTAACGCGCTGATTTCGATTCAGGTACAAAACGGTAAAATCCATTTTACAACGGGAAAACGGTAATTCATGTGAAACTAAAGAACAGGAATGATTGGACTATGAAATGTGTGAGTACAAGTACCAACCCTAATTGTGTTGTACCCCCTATGGGATACCCCACTATAGCCTACACAACAGCATAAGCTATATGTTCTGACACACCCCCTTAGGCAAAGTGGGGGAGAACAAGGGGTCAAAAGACCAGTCAAGCAAAGCAAAGCAAAGCTCACGGTGGATCACAAAGTCACCACACAGTCCGAGCACAAGGTCAAGGGCACAAGGCCAGTTCACATTGTCGAAATATGTCTGTCATATTTTATAACTGCTTGTAGTTGTAGTGTAGTTATTGTACTTTGTAGGTGGTGCACCAACTATGTTTCCTATGCTATATGTTTCTTGAAACCTATAGTGAAACCCATTCTCCCAACTCCTCTTCAACTCACTCGATACTCACCCTAGGAGAAACCCGCTCGATACTAAGTTAGGGCCTAGGCTACTAAGCCTAGGCCCCACGTTTCTACTCTTAACTACTTAAACTTTCGACATGGTATCAGAGCGACGTTCGTTCTGGCCTCACGTTTCCGCTGCTACGATTTTCTGGTCGCGCGCCTAGGGCGCGTGACGAATTTTTCCTTGTCCCGCCCCCGGTTGGCGTGTGACGCCTTTTCTGCCCGTCGCGCGCCCCGTGACACGCGACGGTGCCCTTAACCTGCCCATCGTGCGCCCCGTGGCACACGATGGTGCCCTGCTCGTCGTGCGCCCCGAGGCACACGATCGGGCCCTTGCTCTTATCTTACCCGTCGTGCGCCCTGTGGCACTGGCACGCGACGGGCCTTTCCGCCCCTGCACTCCCTGAAGCCGCCCCTGACACCACTGCACCGACACCTTTTCGCCGCTCTGCGGCTTTCTTCCTTCCCACCCCCCTCCTCCTTTGTCTCCCTGCAGCCGCGGGGAGGAGGGTATGGGGGTGGAGGGTGTTGGAGTGTGGCGTCACCTCTCTCCCTTCCCCTCCTCCTTCTTTCAGTCCCACCGCTGCAGCTGCCGCTGGGGGAGAAGGTGTGAGGATGTGGGGGAGCAGGGGGAGTGGTACCGGGGTGGCGGGTGTGAGGCAACATGCAGCCATCCCTCTACCTCTCCTCTCTTCCCCCCTTCTCTGCTGCTCCTGCAGCAGTGTGGGGGAGGGGAAGGAGGAGGGTGAGGAGATGGAGGGGGTAACTCTTTAATGTTAGCCCGCCTGCATTACCTGCTGTTGCTTGTGATTATTTTGCATGGTGTACCCCCTCAGGGGGCGTAACTACTTTTCTACCTACAAGCATTATGGGGGCGTGTCGAAATATGTCTGTCATATTTTATAACTGCTTGTAGTTGTAGTGTAGTTATTGTACTTTGTAGGTGGTGCACCAACTATGTTTCCTATGCTATATGTTTCTTGAAACCTATAGTGAAACCCATTCTCCCAACTCCTCTTCAACTCACTCGATACTCACCCTAGGAGAAACCCGCTCGATACTAAGTTAGGGCCTAGGCTACTAAGCCTAGGCCCCACGTTTCTACTCTTAACTACTTAAACTTTCGACACACATGCAAGAGGAGACATATATATATAAGGCTAAACAAGCAAGAGCAGGTATATATATATGCAAGAGTACAAGCAAGGTCAAGAGGTGAGCAAGTGAGGTAAGACAAGTACAAGTCCCAACTGAGTACAGAAGCGCTGATGATCACAAGGCGGAAGTGCCTTGGTGAAAACATCAGCAGTGTTGGCCTCAGAGGCCACGTACGCAAGTCGCAACTGACCACGCTGCTACAGCTCACGAGCAAGGAAGAAGCGGCGAGCAATGTGCTTCGTTCTGTGCTCCAAGCGCTGCTCTCGACACAAGGCCAGCATGGCCTTGTTGTCTACGTACAGCACTGGAGGAGAACGAGGCGGCTCTCCAAGGTCAGTCAGCAGGTAGGTGAGCCAGCGAAGCTCCTGTGCAGCCATGGCCCCGGCGTAGATCTCAGCCTCACAACTGGAGCCGAGAACAGAAGACGTGCGAGTAGCCCGCCACGAGACAGAGCCAGAACCAAGGCTGAAGGTGTACCCCTGCGACGACCGCTGCGTAGCCTGGTCGTCAGCCCAAGAAGCGTCCGCGTGGCCAGTGAGGACCACTGGACTCCGCCCTCCAAGCACTAGCCCCATCCCCGACGTGCTGCACAAGTAGCGCAACACCCTCTTCGCTGCAGCCATGTGCTCTGGTCGGTGTCTCCCAGGAGCAACGTAGCGTGCAAGAATGCTAAGAGGGTATGCAAGGTCAGGTCGAGTGCAGGTCATCAGGTACATGAGGCCGCCAACAAGCTCTAGGTACGGGCCACTCGACTCTACGGACTCATCCGAAGGCAGAGCTGAGAGCGAGTGGCGAGTAGCCAGAGGAGTGGCCTGAGGCGAGGAGTACGTGAAGCCGAAGCGCTGAAGGACCTGCTGCACCATGTGTGACTGAGTCAAGGTAATGGTGCGGCGTGCTCTGTCCCGAGTGATCTGCAAGCCAAGGTAGCTGCGCAGTTCACCCAGGTCTGTGCACGTGTGTCTCTTCAGCAGCTCAGACTTCACGTAGGCGAGTCCAGCAGTGTCAGCAGTAGCAAAGACCAACTCGTCGACGTACATGAGGATGTAGAACGGCGGCAGAGAAGTGTCGGTGCGCAGAAACAACAACGGGTCAGCAGTAGAGGGAGCAAACCCAAGAGCCGCAAGTGTAGTCCTCAGTGTGTCGTGACACTCACGCGGTGCCCGGCGGAGACCGTAGACTGGCCGTCGGAGGCTCCATTGGGTGCCAGGAGGGAAAGTCACAGTGAAGCCAGGCGGACGACGCAGCCAGATCTCCTCGTGCAGGCTGCCCTGCAAGAAAGCAGTGCTGAAGTCAAGAGAGTGAAGCTCGTAGTCGCGCTGAGCGGCTATGTGCAGCAGCACCTGAAGAGTAGTCATCTTCGGGGTGGGAGAGAAGGTCTGAAAGTAGTCAACTCCCTGCCGCTGACTGAAGCCACGAGCGACGTACCGCGCCTTGAAGACAGGTGGAGAGCCAGGCGGCCGCTTCACCCTGAAGATCCACATGCCATTGACGATGTTCGCCCCAGGATGGGGAACCTCGTCAACGTAGGTGCCTGTGGACTTCCAGGAAGCCATCTCTACATCCATAGCTGCCTGCCACTGAGAGGAGTAGGGACCCTCTACGGCCTCCGCGTAAGAACGCGGAGTCGGGATGTCTAGTGCATCCGGGTCTCCCTCAGGGGCAAGTAGTACAGACGCGAGATGAGGTGAAGCAGCAGCCAGACACTGGAACTCCTCCTGCCTGTCCTAAAGGACGTCCGTGCCAAGAGCACACTCACCCCCGATGGACGGAGGACAGACAGACGCAGACTCAGCAACAAGACTAGCACCGAAGTCTGGACGACAGCGAGCAGCAAAGTCGACGAGCTCAGCGACAAGAGCAGACGCAGCAGTGGACTCAAAAGAGGGGTCAGTGACAACAGTAGCAAGAAGACCCGTGACAGTAGGACTGGCAGCACGAAGAGAGTCTGACTCCGGGTCGGAAAGCGCAGGAAGAGAGGACGCAGGAGGAGAAGGCAAAGGGGCACGCAGAGGAGCAGTGGACGGACGCAGAGACATCCGGTGCGTGCCAGGGACAGGAGGAGGACGCTGACGCGAACCGCGACCACTAGCGCGAGCAGCACGAACAGGCGACGCGGGACGAGACGCAGGCTCACGACGCTCAGCGAGACCTCCAGTAGGACCAGTGTAAGGAGAGGGAGCAGGCAG